CATTTCCTTGATAAGAAACATGACAGTCTCAATAAGCTCTGTGTAAAAGTAACTTTGTAACACTGTATATAATATCCCTCTTGGAGATTCACAGATCATTAGATTATTGAAGAGTTGAGAAGGCCTGTACAAAGAAATCTATTTAACTTTGTTAAATCCAGTGTTTCCCAAATCCCAGACCTCATCTCACACTATGTTTCTCTTTGCTACCTTCTTCCATCTACATCTGCCTTCTTTTAGTCCCATATATGTACTACCACAGAGTCTATATAAATGCATTTTCCCAGTCCACTACACTGGATATCAACTCTGGTTCACATTAGATTCCCAATCTCCAGCCTAAAGTGTATCAAGGGTCATGTTCAGCTAGCATTTAGAACCACTGTCCATGGCTCTAAGCTCCATGGAAGCAGAGCTTGCCATTTTGTTTACCATTACAGTTTACATAATAAACAATAAAAGAAAATTCGTCAAATCAAGGGATAAATAAATGAATTAACACATTTGTCAGATAAAGAATGAGTGAATTAAATGACTTTGTCAAAAGGATAAGTGAATATGAAAAGCAAATAGTTCTCCTTGGAAAACACTGCCTTAGGGAAACATTTGCTGAACAACCATATGGCTCAATACACATTTGTAGGTGGGGAAAGTAGGTTCAGTTTGGCATTGCATGAAGAGTTCAACCCTTTTAGAAGATCTTCCTACTGAATAGTTCTAGATTAAACTACTCAGATTTCAATTCAAAGTCCAGGGCAAGTCATAATCCTGGTTATACTCTGGGACTGATATTTGCTGTCAGAGAATGCAGGTGTTTTCTACTGCCACTGATAATCTCATTTCTTCAGGGGCTTCTGAACCATGGATTCATGTGATGAACTCATGCCCAGACTCCTTAATTTCATTTAAAATTCCTCCAGGGCCAGCGGAGATCTCACTGCCACTGTGACTACTTTCTCTGCTCATCACATCTCACACTACTCTCTAGATCCTCTGAACAACCGTTGCCCTTATTTTTTTTATCATCACAAAGCAGTGGCTCTGAGGACCAATGGTGTAGACTTTGGAATCAGATTGGTTTATAATCCTTTTGTTACCATGTTCTAGCTGTCTAACTCTGTGCAATTTACTCAGCTTTTTCACATCTTGGTTTCTATATCCATAAAATGAGGATAATAAAAAATGTTCTCACTTCATAAAGTTGTGAGGTTTAAATGAGATCATAAGTGCAAATATTTGGCACTATGCTTGGCACATGGTCAGCATGCAATTATTAGTAGCCATTACTATTTCTCTCTACATAGTTGTGACTTTTTATTTTGTTTTCTAGGTTTCATAGGTTTATATCTTAATGTGCCTTCTTGAATTATAAACTCATTGAAAGAAATGTTTGATATTGTATGTTGCATACAGTTGATTTTTAAAATATAATTACTGGTTTCTACAGATGGCTTCCTGGCAGGGAACATATTTGGTTTAGTATTCTCTTCTAACCCTCACAACCCTAAATGGATGGAACTTCTAGTTTGTGAAGAAGAGTTACCTAGATCTTTACAACTGGGCTCAAGGCAGAGACTCCCTATTTGCCTCTGAAGTCCTATTCCAAGAGGACTGTCTCCCACCAAAAAATACCTGTAACAAAGACTTGGGGTTTAAATGTGCAAGGTAAGTGTCATTCCTTAAGGCCTGCACTACCTGAAACATCCAAGACATCTAAGATGTCTCAGTGTCTTGAGAGGTCAATGAGGTGTCAGAAAACTTGTAAGATTGTCAAATAATCAGAACTGATGTGAAGCCAATTCAACTTCTGTACCTTCTAATTCAATATAAAACAACAACAACAACCAGATTCTCTCTTCTTGCCATTCACCACAATTCTTTCTCCACACAATTTTACAGAACTTCTCTTAAAGGAGGGCATGCAGAAATGGCAGACAAGAATCACCTGCAGGACATTTAGAAAATACAAATGCCCAGATTTTATCCAAGACCAGTTAAATTTGAATTTTCAAAATTGGAGTGAGACATCAGTATTTTACAAAACATTCCCTGGTGAATTTATCTGCAGATAGGTTTGACAATCACTAACTAGGAGATGCTCCTCTTAATAGGATTAACAGGCAGTGAACAAACTGTCAGAACATGATAGTGTGCTATGTACTATAGAGGATACAAAAAACAACCAAAACTTTTCTCTGTCTTCAAGGAGCTTTCAGCTACTCGTAGGAGAAAATTTCCACCCAGAAACTGATAAACAGCCAAAAGGTTACAAGTGGTGGGTATATGACAGAGTCAGAAACTAAATGCTAAAATAAAATTTAGAGGTGAAAAGTAAATGAATATTGGATTGGCCAAAGGTTTCATGATAGAGGAGGTAGGTACCTGAAGATTTAGAGGAATATGAAATTTAGAAAGATCATCCTTGACTTTTTCACATCAACTTTGGGTCATGTTTTCAGGACTGTAGGGAGCTACTTGAAATACTCATATGTATGCAGCTTAAATTTCCAAGGCACCACAAAACCTTTGTAAATATAATTTATTATTTCTGTAAAGTTTCAGCTCTCAGAACAGTTCTTGAAGGGAATGCTATTGTTATTTTCAGCTAAGAAACTGACACCTTACAGAGGTAAGTGACAGCTTTAAGGAAGTATAGGCAGGCGCATATTAGACCTGAGGGAACAAGCAGGTAACCTCTGAGGAACTCATATTCAGGCCAGTTGTCAATGTTTTTCAGGAAATCAGTGCTCTTTTTGCCTTTCTGGTCTCTTTTCTAGGTCATACAGTAAGGACAAATTTCCCCATAAGTAGCTGGGCAAAGCTCTGGTGGCATGATCCATGTCTAGTGGCCTAAAGCCTCCTTTGCATGTGACATTGAAATCAGTTCTTGACTACTTCTGTTCTCCTCTCTATAAGAACTAATAATCTCATTTTCATTCATTTCAACACAGTTTCTTTGCTATTGGACTTAAGTTTTATACAGAGAAAAAAAGCCATGAAATGAATATACATTTTGCTTCCTTTCAAGAGTATCTTTTTTACACATGAAGTTTGAGGTATCTGGATTTTCATTTCTGAGAATCACACCTTTGTAACACTTTAGTCAAAAGAAACTCATTAACTTTCTTTAATAGAAAAGCTAGAAGCATCACATGCTTATTTGAAGCCGAAGTTTTATTCTAGCAGAAGACACTGCATACTGCATACTAGTTGGCTTAGATCTTCTTTTTGGGGATCTGACTGAACATTGACCCCAATTACTGGCAATTTTTTGTGCTTCAGTGCTGCTGTTTCAGAACAAAAACTAATAACCCAACCCTATAGAGAAGCTTTATACACTTCCCCAGTGATTCTGTAGCTCATTTCTCCTTTTCTCATGGTCATTGAATTGATTTTTCCTTGTTGCTTGCACATGGTGCTCAATTATAGTGAAATTCCTGAATCAGAAGACAATCAGCTATCCAAGAAAGTATAGAACTTGAGAGGAAAATAAAAAATATTAGCCTTAGCCTTTCCTAGCCTAGCCTTTTGCTTTCTCATCTGGAGAGTTTATCAGTATTTTTAGGTTGCTCTATTAGGTAGTTTTGATTTTGTGTTTTGTGAGAATATATCAGTTGCCACTATTAAGGGTAATGTGTAAATTGGTTTAATTTTCTATTTTGGGATATTTCTAAAATACAAATGGAGTAGGTTTTTTTCAGGGGGCTTTTTGGAGTTGATCTTAAAACCTGGCCATTAAAAATGAATTAGCCTCCACCAAAAGAAAAAAATAAGGCTAAAAAAAATTAGTCGTGGGTTTACAGAATCCAATACAGGGGAATGGCAAAGAATAAGAGCTGTGAAGTTTCCCTTCCAGGAAATAAGTTCAAACTGAAGTAGGAGGCCAAAAATTATGCTAGGAGAAAAGTTTCTAGAAAAAATGGAAATGAAAAATTATCTGACAAGTTATATTTGTGAGCAATTCTGAAATGCTAGTTGCCAGGGATGTAGAAAGACCTACGTGTAAGTACAGAGAAAACCAAGTGAATTATTTTAAAAAGATGCAGTGAATAACTCCAGGAAAAATAAAAAATTAAGTTTAGGGAAGGAAATAAAATTATGTGCATAATGGCCCACTAGTGAATTATATTTATATAGTGAAATGAAGTTAATTTTTAAAAACATGGAGATAAATATCAGAAGAAACAGATATTTGTATGTAATTGCCTTTGGAGAGCAGGGTTGATGTTGCTTGTCTTGGGAGAGCAATTTCTAGTGTAAACTACATAGGACTATTTGACTTTTAAAACTTTATACCAATATGATTTTCATGAAAAATTAAACATTTAAAAATACAATTTGTATTTCTAACCCCCTCTACCATAAATACAAGGCTGGCATGCTTTCCCCAATGTTTTGTGGAACAGTGCTAAAGAGGGGTTGGCTTTTTAAGTATACGATTAGGAAGATTTCAGTGGATTTGGTGGACTGGAGGAAGTCTTAGGACTGGAGTTTGGTCTGGAAGGCTCTGGTCAAATGTTGTTAATAACTTCTATTGGCATTGATCCAGCACTGATAAATAAGGAGATAGACTCTCATATACTGCCTCGGATTGAGTTTTGTGTGTTCACTGAAATGATGATTTTCTCTTTAACCATTATTGACTACAGGCACAAGTGTAATTCTCACTTTCCTCTGGGTTGTCTGGGTGTGCATTGGGCCTATGTTTAAATCCTGGGTGTTTCAGAGCATCTTGCTGGATCTAAAGCACTCAAATGAATGTGAATGCAAGAGGCTGAGGGACTAGAACATATGTCAAAAAATGTATAAGGATTTATCTTGAACTCTTGTCTATACACAGAAATACTTTATATCTTCCTATTTAAAGTAGTTTTTCTCAGTTTACAAAATAGTACCCAAGGCGGGGTGGTAAGTTTGGGTTAATGATTACATTTTTTACTTGAATAAGTTTTAAAATCTTATGTCAGCTGACTTTTGTAAGAGGACTAATCATATGCATGCATCAATATTCTGTTGTGCCTTAGTGATTCAAACATAGCAAAAATGTGTCTGAGGCTGGTAACCGGTCATTTGAGTTGAGGTATGTGAGTTTTCATGATCTTAAATATGTGGAGTTGTTTACACTTAGGTTAATAATTAAGAGAGAGACACATTGTAGATTAGGCTCAGATTGAATAGAATATGTGGTTGGGTAAAGAAACTAATATTATTTAAATTTCTACTATGTATCAGGCACTTTACATATATTACTTCATTTTTTTAAAGCTGAGATACAGAGTGGTCGTGTGACTTCTCTAAGGACTTCTGGTTAGTGAGTTGTGGAACTGAAATTTTAACCAAAGTTTTACTAGCAACAAAAAAAGGTGAGAAGTTGAGCAATTTTTATCAGTACAAATTTGCTTACAGCAAAATCACTTGCAAAATTTTTAATAAGTGGAAATTGGGCTCTACTCCTAACCTACTAAACCAGAATTTCTGGGAGAAGTGCCAGGGAATTCTCTGTGACTTTTATGCACCCCCAAATTTGAGAACCACTGCTATGTCATAATTGTTATTATGCTCCAGTTATTTTTTTAGGATACAATGTGTTACCCTACAATTAAATTACTTTGAAGATTAGCCTTGTTTTATCACCTACTGTTTCTCAATCCCTCCGAATATGGTCAGATTTCTGGAAACTCTATATACAAAAAATGTCAGAAGATTATATTTTAGATTCAAATTGGGCCACAAAGAATTAGCATTTTCTCCTTAGATGGAATTTGTGGAATAGTCACACAAAACAATGGTGGAGTAGAAAAAAAACCAGAGCTGAGAAGTTTTCTGTGTGTTTGTTCATGGCAAAAACCATGAATGAGATGCATCTGTTTCTTAATGACCGATACTAGTTTTCCCTTAGTTTCCATGCATAAATTTCCACCCCTCCACTTGTTCTAATGGATGAATGGTGGTGCTAGTCCTTTATTCCCTTTCTCTTCCTCTTTTAGCGGTTTTTAATGCATAGTTTGAGCCTTTAACAGCTTAGAATTCGAGAAGACTAATGTTCCCCAGAACTCCTAGAAATATTACCAGAAATTTAATAAAAAGATAAAAATATAGACAAAAATTAAGTACAGTACAAAATTAAGAAATCATAGATAAGGGGGAAGATGACAGAGTTTGTATTGGCCCATGTTTTCATAAATCCTCACAAACGGGCCATTCCCTAAATATAACAGAAGAGAAATGAGAGGATGAAGAGATGAGGGCAGTTTATATTCTTCCTATGTGTCCCTTTCCAAAAACGGAAACTTGTTAATGTAGGAAGATGGGGGGTATAGATATTTGCACAAAAATGTGTTTTTTCTTTTATAATAATTCAGTATATTTTAAAAGAGAAGAATATAAGGTCACCAGCTCAATCTGGGATATTCATTGCGAGTTGAACAAATATATATTGAATGGGCTTTATATCAAAGTCCTCTGAGTTTGAAATACTGAAATCCTACCTAGAGAGTCAGGAAACACAAGTTCTGGTCTCAGCCGTGTGACTTCAAGCTGGCCACTCATTTCCCTTGACTTTCAATCTCTTTCTTTGTAAAAGCAAGCCAGATATTTCCGAGGTCCTTTCAGGTACTATGAATCTATGTCTGCATTTACAATTGTGCCGCAGGAAAGTCTGAAATTTTTCTTTGGTGAATTAAAAGGTTTTAAGTGAGGTTATTATAAGTTTGTTTAAATTGATGAAAAATTACAGTTGTACAGAAAGATACTTAAAACCAACACGACAGCCTTTATCTTTGGGTAATATATTCAGTTAATATGTGTCCAATTAAGGTCTCTAGTCAGCATCTGCCTGTTTCTGAGACAGTTATCAAGTTAGTTATTCTGCTGATAAAACAAAATGCTAATTTTTAAGGTGTAAGGTGGAGAGGAAAAAGTGGTAAACATTTGCATCCGGATCACCCTGAGGTGATATGTTCTCTGCATACTTTGCATTCCAGTTATTTTTGAACAGCTTTATTGAGGTATAATTGATGTACAATAAATGCACGTTTTTAAAGTATACCATCTTGTAAGTTTTGACAAGACATATGTCCACATGTCCAATATGATATATGAATTCATCACCACAATAAATATAGTGAACATGTAAACACTCTCAAAAGAAACCCTGTGTCCCTTTGTCATCTCTCTCTTCCATTTCTACCCACAACACTCCCTCTTTTTCATTTGCCTGGGAACCAATGGTCTGCTTTCTGTCACTATACATCAGTTGGCATTGCCTAGAATTTTATATAAATAGATTATATAGTGTGTATTCTGTTTTTCAAGAATGTTTCAAGATGTTTTTCAAGCTGAGCCATTATTTTGAGATTCATCCACATTGTTGCACGCATCAAGACTTCATTCTTTTTGTTGTTAAATACTATTCCATTGTATTCCATTGTATGGATAAAATATATCTTGTTTATCCATTCATCTATTGATCCACATTTGGGTTGATTTCAGTTTGGGGTTGTTACAAGTACAGCTATTTTGTACATCTTTATACCAGTCTTTATATGGACATATGCTCTTGGGTAAATAAATACCAAGGAGTAAAATGGCTGGGTCATAGGGCAAGTTTATGTTTAACTTTATAAAGAATTTCCAAATTGTTTTCCAAAGGCATGGTTCCATTTAACCTTTTTACCAGCAATATGTGATCCCTTTATCATTATGAAATGATAATGTTAGCATGGTATATCTTTTCAAATACTTTAACTTATTTGTGTCTTTATATTTGAAGTCGTAGGTTTTTGTAGGCATCATATACTTGGTCAGTAATTTTTTTTATTTAACATAATAGGTAGTCTCTGCCTTTTAACTTGGTTATTTAGATTTACACATCATATGATTACTAATATGACAAGATTTGATTTCTCTATATGATCTTTGTTCATTCCCCTTTTCCTGCCTTATTTTGGATCAACTTTTTTTTTGGTGCCATTTTGTCTCCTTTGTTAGCTTATTACCTGTAATTGTTTCTTCTGTTATTTTAGAAGATGCTTTAGGATTTACCGTATATACCTTTAACTTATCACAGTCTATCTTCAAGTGGTAACATATCATATTATATCATATCATATTATAAGGACTTTATAACAGTTTACTCTCACTTTTACCTTATTGATATTGATGCTATTACTGTCATACATTTTACTTCTATATATAAACCCCATATTTGATTCTTATTTTTACTTGCACAATTAGCTTTTAAAGGTATTTAAATAATAAAAGCCAAATGTTTATTGCCTTTGTGTAGATTCAACTTTCCAACTAGTATCATATTCCTTTTACCTGAAAGAATTCTTAAAGCATTTCTTATACTACAAGACCACTGGTAGTAAATTCTTTCAGCTTTGGATTTCAGAAAAAATCTCCATATCACTTTTTTTGGAAAGGTATTTTCACTGGGTGTAGAATTCTAGATGGACAGAGTGTTTTGACCTTTCATAATTTAAAAAATGTTGGTTCTCTGTGTTTCCATTTGCATTGTTTTTGACAAGATATCTGTTGTCCTTACCTTTGCTCCTCTGTATATAATTTAAAATCTTTCTCTGGCTGCTTAAAATTTTTCTCATTATCTCTAGTTTTGGGCAATGTGGTTATAGTGTACCTTGTAGTATTCCTTACATTTCTTATTTTTTAGTTTTTGAGCTTCATTGAAGTTTATAATTTTTATGAATTTGAAAAATTTTTGGCCACCATGTGTTCAACTATCTTTATTTGGTTCCCACCTTAAAGAAGGTTTACACATACATTAAAGAACTCTAATTACACATACATTAAGTCACTTGAAGTTGTACCACAGTTTACTGATTTTTTTTGTCTTTTTTACTTTCTAGTATTTTTTTTCTGTTTCATTTTCTTTTTCTGTTTTTTTATTCCAGTGTGTTAACACATTCATTTATATCCATTTCAGGTGTACAATATAGCAATTCAACAATTCCATATATTATTCAGTGCTCCTCAAGGTAAGTGTACTCTTAATCTCCTTTACCTATTCACTAATCCCCCAACTCCCCTTCCCTCTATTTACTACCTATTTGTTCTGTATAATTAAGAATCTTGTTTTTGGTTTGTCTCTCTCTTTTTGTTCCTTTATTCATTTGTCTTGTTTCTTAAGTTCCACTTAAAAAATGAAATCATGGTATTTGTCTTTTTCTGACTGGCTTATTTCACTTAGATTATACTTTAATTATATAATTATACTTGCAATCATATCCATGTTGTTGCAAATGGCAAGATTTCATTTTTTATGGCTGAATAATATTCCATATATATATATATATGCCATATCTTCATTTATTCATCTATCAATGGACACTTGGGCTGTTTCCATAACTTGACTATTGTAAATCATGCTGCAATAAACATAGAGGTGCATGTATCTCTTTGAATTAGTGGTTTGTGTTCTTTGGGTAAAAACTTGCAAACTTACTGAATTCTTTAATCAGTTCGAGTCATTTTTTGGTAGAGTGCTTTGGGTTTTATGTATATAGTATCATGTCATCTGCAAATAGCGAAATGTTTACTTCTTCCTTACTGATTTGGATGCCTTTACTCCTTTCTCTTGCCTAGTTGCTGTAACTAGGACTTCCAGTACTATGTTGAATAAAATTGATGAGAGTGGACTTTCTTGTCTGTTTCTGACCTTAGGGAAAAAGCTTTCAACTGTTCCCCATTGAGTATGATGTTTGCCATGGGTTTTTTATATAGTCTTCATTATGTTGAGGTACATTCCCTCTAAACCAACTTTTTAAAGGATTTTTATCATGAGTGGATGTTGTACTTTGTCAAATGATTTTTCTACATATTTTGAAATGATCATCTGGTTTTTATCCTTTTACCTATTGATGTGATATATTATGGTGATTGATTTGCAAATATCGAACCACCCTTGTATCCCAAGAATAAGTCCCACTTGGTAGTGGTGAATGATATTTTAAATATACTGTTGGATTTGGTTTGCTGATATATTTTTTTTAATTTTTATTTATTTATGATAGTCACAGAGAGAGAGAGAGAGAGAGAAAGAGAGAGAGAGGCAGAGACATAGGCAGAGGGAGAAGCAGGCTCCATGCACTGGGAGCCCGACGTGGGGCTTGATACCGGGTCTCCAGGATCGCGCCCTGGGCCAAAGGCAAGCGCCAAACCGCTGCGCCACCCAGGGATCCCTGGTTTGCTGATATTTTATTGAGGATTTTTGCATATAGGTTTGTCAGAGATCATTGCCTATCTCTTTTTGTGGTGTCTTTTTTTTTTTAAGATTTTATTTATTTATTCATGAGAGATACAGAGAGGCAGAGACATAGGCAAAGGGAGAAGCAGGCTCCCTGCAGGGAGCCCAGTGTGAGACTATTCTGTGACTCCAGGACCATGTCCTGAGCAGAAAGCAGACTCTCAACCACGGAGCCACCCAGGTGCCCCTTTTATTTATGGTATCTTTATGTGGTTTTGGTATCCGGGTGATATTGGGCTCAGAATGAATTTGTACATTTTCCTTTCACTTCCTCCTTCCTCTTCCTATTTTTTGGAATAGTTTAAGAAGAATAGGTTTTAGGTCTTCTTTATATGTTTGATAGAGTTCACCTGTGAATCTGTCTGGTCCTGGACTTTTGTTTGTTGTGAGTATTTTAATTACTGATTCAATTCCATTGCTGGTAATTGGTCTGTTCAAGTTTTCTATTTCTTACTGCTTCAGATTTGTTATTTTTATGTTTCTAGGATTTTATCCATTTTTTCCTAGGTTGTCCAATGTATTGACCCATAATTTTTCATATTCTCTTGCAATCCTTTGTATTTCTGTGATGTTGGTTGTTATTTTTCTTCTTTCATTTCTGATTTTGTTTACTTGAGTACTTTCTGTCTCTGTCTTTCTCTATTTGGTAAACCTGCCTAGAAGTTTATCAATCCTGTTGATCTTTTAAAAAATCAGCTCCTGGTTTCATTGATCTGTTCTATTGTTTTTAAAATCTCTTTATCATTTATTTCTGCTCTAATCTTTACTATTTCCAACATTCTGCTATATTTGAGTTTTGTTTATTCTTCTTTTTCTAACTCCTTTAGGTGTAAGGTTAGTTTGTTTATGTGCGATTTTTCCTGGTTTTTGAGGCAGGCCGTTAGCTATAAACTTCTCTCTAAAAACTGCCTTTGCCTGATCCCAAGGATTTCGGATCATTGATTATGTTTTCGAATTTGTCTCCATGTTTTTTTTTTTTATTTCCTCTTTGATTTCTTGGTTGACCCATTCATTGTATAGTGGCGTATTATTTAACCTCCATGTATTTGTGTTCATTCCACATTTTTTCTTGTAGTTGATTTCTAGTTTCATTGTGCTGTGGTCAGAAAAGGTACATAGTATAACATTGATCATTTTGAAATTGTTGAGACTTGTTTTATGACCTAATATGTGATCTATTCTGGAGAATATTCCATATACAATTGAAAATTTGTGTATTCTAAGATGGAGTGTTCTGAATATATATATTAAATCCTTCTAGTGCAGTGTGTTATTCAAACCACTGTTTCCTTGTTTATTTTCTATTTAGATGGTCTTTCCATTGATGTAAGTGGGATGTTAAAGTTCCCTACTATTCTTTTATTACTGTCAAGTAGTTCCTTTATGTCTGTTATTAAGTGTTTTTATGTTTTGTGTGCTCTCATGTTAGGTGCATAAATATTTACAATTGTTACGTCTTGTTGGATTGTCTCCTTAATGATTATATAGTATCCTTCTTTGTCATTTGTTACTCTTTGTTTTAAAGTCAATTTTTTTTTTCTGAAATAGCTATTGCTACCCCCATTTTCTTTTGACATCTATTTGCTTAATAAATGTTTATCTATCCCCTCACTTCCAATCTGCAATTGTCTTTAGATCTGAAGCCTGTAGGATTTTGTTTGTTTTTTAACCTATTCTGTCACCCTGTGTCTTTTGATTGGAACATTTAGTTCATTTACATTCAAAATAATATTGATAGGTATGTATACATTGTCATTTTACTATTTGTTTTGTATTTCATTTTTGTAGATCTTCTCTGTTCCTTTGTTCCCTTGCTGTCTTCTCTTTCCATAAGTTGGCTTTTTTTAGTGATATACTTAGATTCCTTTATTTTTTTGTATATCTATTACAGGTTTTTGATTTGTGGTTACCATTAGGTTTGTATATAACATCTTATGCATATAGCAGTTTATATTAAGTTGATGGTCACTTCAGTTTGAACCCATTCTTTACTCTTTTCCTCTCCATGTTTTAAGTATATGGTGTCATACTTTACATCCGTTTATTTTGTGAATCTCTTGACCAATTTTTTACAGGTATACTTATTTTCACTGCTTTTGTGCTTCCCTTTTTTTTTTTTAACTCTTATTTATGGTATTTTCTAGAGTCCCCTTTCACGTTTCATTTAGGGTTGGTTTAGTGGTCATGAACTCCTTTAACTTTTGTTTGTCTGGGAAATTTTTTGTTTCCCTTTCTGTTCTGAATAACTTTGCTGGATTCTTGGCTGCAGATTTTTCCCTTCCAGAAAGTGAAAGATTCTGTTGAGAAATCTGTAGCTAGCTTTATGGGGTTTCCCTCATATGTAACTGTTTTCTTTTCTCTTGATGCATTTAAAATTGTCTCTTTATCATGGCTCTTTTCTTTTTTGCCATTTTAATTGTTATGTGCCTTAATGTGGATCTCTTTAAGTTGGTTTTGTTGGGGGATCTCTGTGCCTCCTGGATCTGGATATATGTTTCCTTTCCCTAGATTAAGAATGTTCCAGCTATTATTTCTTCAAACAAGTTTTCTTTCCCCTTTTCTCTCTTTTCTTCTGCAATGCTTATGATGAGAATGTTATTACACTTAATGGCATCACTGACTTCCCTAAGTCTACTCTCATTTTGCTCAGTCTACTCTAATTTTTTTTTTTCTGTAACCTGTCCAGGTTGATTACTTTCCATTATTCTGTCCTCTAGGTCACTGATTTGTTCTGCTTCTTCTAGCCTGCTATTTATTCCATCTAGTGTATTTTTAAATTTCATTTATTGTGCTCTTCATCACTGATGATTGGTTCTTTCTTATCTCTGTGTTGAGTCTCACTGATATGATCACTGTTTTCTTAAGTCTAGTGGGTATCTTTATGATCATTACCTTAAATTCTCTATCAGGCATATTACTTATCTCCATTTTGCTTGGGTCTCTTGCTGTGATTTTGTCCTGTTTGTTCTCTCATTTGAGACATATTCCTCTGTCTCCTCATTTTGTCTAACTTTCTGTGTCTGTTTCTCTGTGTTAGGAAAGTCAGCTATGTCTCTTGCTCTTGAAAGCCCAGGTGGAATGTGTGCTTTTAACAAGTTGCACTGGTCCTCTTCCACAGGGAGATGTGCAGCTGTCACAGAGACTAAGGTAGGCCTGAGCCACTCTGCAAAGCATGTGTGGATGGGGCATGCAGTTTTAACAAGGTGCTTGTGTTTTCTGCAGAAGGTGACCAGCCCCCACTGCCACTGGGACCAAGACCCTAAAAGCAAAGAGTCAGCAGATGAGGTCTTTGCAAGGTTTGGCAAGTTTTGCACTGGTCTTCTGGGTGAGGGGATCTGCAGCACTGGAACTGAGGCACACCCAGCTGGAGGGAGCAGGGCATAAGGCAAACAAGTTAGGTAGTAAATGCTGGTACCATTGTTGATGCCCACAAGTTGCTATGTGTTTATCCTGGGGGCTGGGAGAGGGAAATGGCACCTGCCAACTCCTTTGTCTCTGGATAGTCTTTCAACAAATTCTGAGATTCTCCTTCCTGTATGCCCCCAGAATTTTTCAAACCATTCCTTCTATGCTGTATCTCCCCAGGCTGTTTGTTGTACTGTCTCTTTATGTGCAGGGACAGAGTTTCCTTTTTTTTTTTTTTAAAGATTTTTATTTATTTAGTCATGAAAGACACAGAGAGAGACAGAGGGAGAGGGAGAAACAGGCTCGCTGAGGGGAGCCCCATGTGGGACTTGATCCCAAGACCTTGGGATCATGCCCTGAGCTGAAGGCAGATGCTCAACCACTGAGTCACCCAGGCATCCCAAGGACAGAGTCTTATTACCCTTCTGGTCCTCCTAGAGCCAAGTCTTTTGATTTTTAAAGTTTCAGACTTTAATTCTTGCTGGACAAGAACTCATGAAGTTCAGCCTCTCTGGTTTTCAAAGCTGAATGCTATGGGCTGTGCAGGCTCCCCTGTGTGGTAGTCTGTTTCTCTCCCCTCTCCACATCTTCAGCTTCTTCTTCCCTTCAGTGGCCAGACCCATGGGGATTAGTTTCCCACGACATCTCTTCTCTTCTTACCCTCTTTGATGTGGCCTCTTCTCTATATTTGGATCTGGAGTTTGTTCTGCCAGTCTTCAGGTCATGTTCTGGGTTATTGACACTGCTGTGAGTGTTATCTGGTTGTATCCCATAGGATACAGTAAGCTTATGGTCCTACTCTTCTGTCTTCTCTGGAAGTTTCTGAGTTTCATTTTGGATAGTATCAATTATTGTCTTCAATTTCATTAAACTTTGACAATATTTCATCTGTCATTAATCTCATTAATGTCTTTTTCTTCTAGGTTTTATTTCCAGGATTTATCTTCTGGTTTTCGCCTCTGAAGTTTATATGGTCTTTAAAAATATATCTTTATATTTAGTATATTTAATTTCTTCTTCAGTTCTTTGAACATAAAAGTATAGCATAATAGTTTTCCAATGTTTTTGTCAGCTATTTTTAACATCTCTGTCAGTTTTGTCTGATTGATTTTTCTCTTCATTATAGGCGGCATTTTTCTGATTGCTTGCATGCTTGACAATTTTTGATTAGATGTAAGATATTGTGTTTTACCTTGTTGAGTGCTGGATACTTTTGTATTTCTATAACTATTGTTGGGTTTTGTTCTGGGACACAGTTATTTAGAAATACTTTGATTTTTTTCTGCCATTGCTTTTATACCTGAACTGTATTTTGTCTGGGTTTAATTATTCTTCACTGCTGAAACAAGACTCTTTTGGATACTCTATCCAATGGTTCATGAATTATGAGTTTTTCTTCTCTGGCAGGGAATTGTTCTAGTCCTGTACCCTAACTGAGCCCAGTAACCGTGGCCCCATGTGGGATCTGAGTGCTGTTGTTTCATCTTTTTGAAAATTTCTTTCCCTAGCCACAGGTGGTTTCTGCACATGTATGCCTTGATCATTACTTAACTGAATACTTGAGGAAGACTAAGGATATATTATTAACAAGCATGCCAATATCATTATTTTTGCATGGTATTCTCAATGCAAAATATAAGAAGGAAAATGTCATTCCAGTTATAAAACTCTGTATATTTTTAGAGCGTGTGACTATTTAGCCCAACTTGCTGTGCTGATCCATTTACTATGCATTGAGTAACTTGCATCTAAGGGAACTGTAGATGGTAATGAGGTTTTGAATGCCTTTACATGAGACCCAAGTCTCATCTTTGAAGGATGACGCAAGTGATCATTACTGCTGATGAATTTTAAATAGAACAATCATCCTGATTGCTCTGCTTAAGTCTGACTCAGTAAGCCAGCTAAAGCATTTCCCCCATCATGCAGACTCCTCAACAAATTTCAAGATTTTACCAGGCATTTTCATGAGAAAATTTGAAAAATGTTCAGGCTTCACATACTACTATCAGGCCAGTGTGACTCCTTTTTATTTTGCCACAACCTATGGAAATGAAATAGAAAGGGGAAATAATATGGAATAAAGTTAGAGAAATTAAAATCAAACCTTGAATTTCATAATTGACTCTTATGCTGATTCTCTTTTATATTTTACTCTTATTTTCCCTTCCCTTCTGTGAATTCACTTTTTAGCTTTTGAAAATTATTTATGATTCTTCGAATTCTTTAAGAAAGGAATGAGTCATAATATATTTCGTACATGCTAATAGTCTTCTATTAGGTTACAGCAGGTGGCTAACCTACTTGAAGGGCAGATACGTCACATCTTCAGCAAGTAAAGAATTAATCATCACCTGATGTGATGCAAAAATTGAAAGACCTTAGTGATTTTTGCAGCCTAAGATTGGCAAGATTCTGACATGATGGCCCTCATTTTTCTGTCCCGTGTTTATGGCTAATTTATCACAAAACACTCTTCCAATTCATCAAGATCTCCACTGCCTTAAGTCAGTACCCTAGGCAGCTACTACCAATCACTCAAAGTATGGCTATAAAATCAATCCTATCTGCAATTCAGAAGTTAGTCCATTCTTTTAATTTTATAGGTCCAAGAATTGGGACTTCCAATGAGCTATAGAGCTTAAATTGGGACTAGGTCCCCAACTCTAAGCATAGTCATTCCACAATGTCTCCATAGTCCTAGAAGGCCAAATACTTTTGTGTGTGTGTGTGTGTGTGTGTGTGTGTGTGTGAACATACAGTGACAAAGCAGACATATAGACACAAGATGACAGACAAAAATGAAAAGATTTTCATCCTTTCCTGTTATTGCCAGACTGAACCTACTTCTGAAATGGAAAATTTTATCAAAAGAAAAAAAATATTTTCAGCTGACTTAGAAACTTACCCTGCTTGTCAAGCAACCAAAAAGAAAAGATTAGTGTGAGATTTTTTTTTGCTGTTGTTCACTTTTGTTTTTGTTTTGTTCTGTTTTTTTCCTATCCAGCTTTGTGCAGAGCCAAAGAAGAAGAATATCCACAGAAGAATATTTCAAGGTCATTGAAAATCTCCACCAACTTCAAAACCCTCTCCCATTTTCAGTTTCTGATACATGAAGTTCCTTTAGTAGATATATAGCTTATGAGCACCAAAAGAATTATAATGCTGAAAAATAAATTCCTATGGAGAGAAGGATATTATTGATTAGGATGTCAGTAAGTATCAACAGATTCTTTTCTAAGAGAAGTTTGTGATAAGGGGTGGGGGGAGAGTACATAGCAAGAGAGAAAATGGGGGAAAAGGAAGCTGGGATAATACAAATTCCAGGGTGTTTTTTATGCAATATTGAGGATAAGAGCAGATTGAGTGAGTTGCCCAAGCTCTTTCAGGTGAAATTGAATTTTAAATCCTAAATTCCTGGATCTGATTCACATTATACTCTACTGAATTGTACCTGACCATTCCTCAGACCTCTCCATGAGCAAAAATTATCTACCATGAAGAGTTTCAGATAATCACTATTATTAAGTAAACACAATGTTCCAAGCTATATCTTTATTGCTTTTCCTATGTATTACCTTACTTAGTACTCATAGAAAACTTACAACGTACATTCTTTTATTATCTCCACTTCACAGATAAGAAAAGTGAATCTTAGAGAAAAGTTAAATAATTTGTCTAGGGATTTCTGGCTAGAAAGTGATAGTGGAAATTTGAAGTACAATCCAACTGTTGCAAGCCAAACTTCTAGTCACTATACTAATCTGCTTCCTATCTTATCAGAACCAGATAAAAGAATCCAAATAAAAGCCTTGTTTTGTATGTTCCTTAGAAGAAAAATGAAATTATGAGACAATAATTCTAAGGAATTTATACTTTCTCTTTTGTTAAAAATCAACCAAAAAAATGTAAAATGATATCTGATGTAAGATTTAGAGATGCTTAATTGCAGAAATCAACCACCAGATCAAGTCCTTTGATTAAAGTTGGACTTTCTATACTTAAAAAAAATCCCTGCTTAATTATACAGTTGAATGTTAAATATTATAATACATTTGTTATAAACCTCATCCTTATATCTGTTTACACATACACATATTTACATGCACAAATATGATGCCAAAAATATATAACAAATCTTCACAGTTCAAGGGCCTTCTCACAGAATTATGTAGGAGCCTCTTTCTGGCTGGTTGACTGAGCAGAGTTCAGCCTGGGAGCTTTTTAAAGGCTGAGGACAACATGCATCTACATGTTTGTTTTGTTGAGGTTAAAATCTGTGAGTTTTGGTGGTGATTTTTTCTAATTGTAAATTCTTGATAGGTCTGTAGTTAGAATTGTAAATTCTTGATAGGTCTGTAGTTAGAAGCCAGAGGAAGTTGAAGGGGACTCTGGATGGAATGAAGAACAATGTTTGGAAATGAAGAGCTAGAACCTGGAGCTCAACTTTGAGAAGAATTAGTGGTATTTTCACTTGTTGATGGAAAGGTCAACAATTTTGAAGATGGAGCAAGTATCCATAAAGAAAAGCTTTTGAAAACTGTGTCTAGATCTTTATCCAGAAAATCCTTTTTGGGAGAAAAATTAGAAACTTGCTAATAAACATTAAAATTATCTCTATTGAATCCACACAAGCAGATTCATTTACCTCAGAAAACTTGAAGCCTAATAATACCTCTGCATATTATAAAGTTTTGGGATAATTATTTTAATTTGGTGCAACAAAAACAAACAAAACAACAAAACAAAAGCCTTCTGCTATGTACCTATATAATACATATATAAGTATAATATAAAATGCTTGCCTTGCAAAAGTATAAAATACATGTGTATGAGTATACATATAAAAGGATAAAAATAATAAAGATAGTATCTGCTAAGTGCCAAATGTCTAAACCAACTAATAATGGCTACTGAGAGTTCCAAGGAAGAATCAGAGACTGATAAGAGGGAAATGGACCAAGAAACCTAACCCATGGTTTTATCCAAAAGGAAATAAGACTCAGAAAAAATTTTTTCCTGAAGTTTAAACAGCTATAGAAATCTCTCACTGAGTGTAAATCTTCTGATTTCCTGGTCTAAAACATCTGCCATCACATCAGGCTATCAGGGAAAGACTCACGAAACAGAAAGAATTAAGCTAACCCTTGCAGGAAGAGTAGGTAGGGCACTTTAACATTTCATTGTTCTCGGGTGTTTGTTTACTTGAGGTATGCTAAATATTAAGTTAATGGCTACCTCCAACAGTTGATTGAAAATGATATGTTTGGCCAACTAATATTTGTTCTTGAACTTAGATGGACCCAAAATGAGTCACAGATACTTCAATTCGTTAAAGTCATTCAAACAAAATTATTTGAAAATTTACTGAATTCTGGAAATTATGCTGAGTTTTGAGGATTCAAAGGTAAAAAGATGTGATCACTGAATTCCAGGGGTTCAGAGCTTCCTGAAGTGATAGACTGTGCCATAAGTAATTACATCCCTAAGAGTAATTTTTATAGTGGAAATAATTACACATTGCAGTTTAAGAGTCAGAAGAGGGTTCCCTGCCTTAGTCTATCAGGGCTCTATAACAGAATACTGTAGGTTGAGTGGCTTATACACAGCAGAAAGTGATTTCTCACAGTTCTGGATGCTGGAAAATCCAAGATCAAGGCACCAGCATATTAGGGATCTCTGGTAACAACCCACTTCTTGATTCATGGATAGCCATCTTCTCACTGTGTCCTGATATGGCAGAGGGGAGCAGGGACCTCTACAGAGGCTCTTTCATTCACACTATTCTCATTCATGAAGGCTCTGCCTTTATTATCTAATAACCTCCCAAAGAGACATCCAAATACTGTCATGTCAAGGATTAGGATTTCAACATATGAGTTCGGTGGGGGCAGTTGGTGTGCGGTGGAGCACAGCATTCAGTCCAGAGCAGTTTCTAAGACTTCTAGCACAGTCTGGAATGGCAAAAAGAATGTACTTTAGGCAGAGGACGTATCTCTGTCTCTCTGTTCTAAGCAGCACTCCAAGGAGAAAGAAATCATGTGAAATAGTGGGTAAAGTTACCACCTGGGAAAAGGAATTACTGAGTAACTCTGGAAGTTGTAAGAGCTATTCTTATCTATGGAGGAAATATTAAAACCCTAAATCCCTACTGGCAATTTAAATGTGTAAGTTGAATCATCCTAGGTTTCTCTCTGAGAATTCATACAAAATCAGTTATTAATATCTTTACCATTTTCCCCAAGGTGCTGCTAATGTAAGACCTCTGGTTCCTTGCAGGATTCTTCCAAAAGGTGATGGAAGTATGTGGAATGAAATAGTGATGGTGATTGCACAATCTTATGAATATACTAAAAACTCTAAGTGTACATTTCAAAATTATTAAAATGGTGAATTTCATATTATGCGAATTTTACCTCAAGAAAAAAAAAGTCTCCCAAAATATTTTTGAAACTCCTCAAAGGATATGTTACAAATGCTTACAGAACCAATCCAAGGCTCCTACTTACTTCTGGCCTCTACTACATGCCACTGCTATTTAAATTTTTAGAAATCTATATACTAAAATATTTCAAACATACAGAAAAATGCAGAGTATCCACTATCCAAAATCATATCACCAACCAGAATCAATAAATATTAACATTTTGCCACATTAAGCTTTTCACTTCAGAAAAGCTTAATTTTTATAAAAAATGAAATGTAATATACACTTGAAGACTTTTTTCATTTCCTTCTCTCCTTGCCCCAAAGACAGTCAGTTTTCTGAAGCTGTTATGTTTCCTTTCTATGACATTTCTCTATTTAAAAATATTCACCACTTATATATTTTTCAAAGTTGAATACAATATTATTTTGTAAATTTATGTTTGATAAATAAATGCTATCTAACGACACGCAATTTTTTAAAAGATTTATTTCAGAGAGAGAGAGAGAGAGAGAGAGAGAGAGAGAAGCAGACTCCCTGCTGAGCATGGAATCTGACTCTGGACTCAAACTGAAGACCTTGAGATCACAACATGAGCCCAAATCACAAGTTGGACCCTTAACCAACTGAGCCATCCAGGCATCCCTAACCACACACAAATTTTTATTCCATATTATGTTTTCAAGATTTTTGTTGAGATATGTAAATGTGTTTAATTCACTTTACTTCTTTATACTATGGCATCATTATATATGTAGTACAATTATTTATTCATTCATTCCTTGTTGATAGGCAGGATTGATTTGTCTATTGATTTCCAAATATTTGCTATTACAAACAAAATCATACTGATCACCCTTTTGCATGTCACCATGTGCACATTCCTTTTTTTTTTTAAGATTTTATTTATTTATTTATGAGAAACACAGAAAGCGGCAAAGACAAAGGCAGAGGGAGAAGCAGGCTCCATGCAGGAAGCCCAATGTGGGATTTGATCCCGGAACCCCGGGATCATGCCCCAAGTCAAAGGCAGATGTTCAACTGCTGAGCCACCCAGGCATCCCACCATGTGCACATTCCTATGCGTTTCTCAGGGATGTGTATAAGAAATAAAATTTACAAGATATTACCAAATTCCTGTCCAAAGAGGTTGCTGTATTTTCCCATATCTTCAGCCACATTTGTTACATCTGTATTCTTTATTTATTTTCATTTTCCTTATGGGTAAGAAATAGCATCTCCTTATTTATAATTCATTACTGATTAGTGAATTTGACCATCCTTTCTTAAGATTTTGGCCATTTGTGTTTCTTCCTCTGCAAATTTTCAGTTCATATCTTTTGCCAGTTTTCTTTTAAAAATAAGATTTTATTTATTTATTCATGAGAGGCACAGAGAGAGAGAGAAGCAGAGACATAGGCAGAGGGAGAAGCAGGCTCTATGCAGGGAGCCCAATGTAGGACTCGATCCTGGATCCCAGGATCACGCCCTGAGCCAAAGGCAGATGCTCAACGACTGAGCCACCCAGGTGTCCCTTTTGCCAGTTTTCTACCTCTTACTGCTTTGTGGAGTTCTTTGTATAGTCTGAGTACCATTCCTTTGTTGATTATACATCTCCAAGCCTGAGATTGCCTGCAAAACTTTTAAATTTAAATATAATCAAGCTTATCCACCTCTTCTTTATGGTTTCCACCTTTGCCTCTTGTTTAAGAAGTTCTTTCCTATCCTGTCACAAAGACACTAACTTACATTTTATTAATAACTTTACTTCTTCACTTTTTACATTTGGGTATTTGTTCCTCACTGAACTTTTTTCAAAATAAACCTAATATTTTTTCTATCTGAATAGACACTTGTCAGAGCGATAGTTACCAAATAGAGCCTTTTCCCCCAACTTAATATAATGTCACCTTTCACCTATACTACTTTGTTTCTGTACTTTTTTGGATTTATTTATTTATTTATGACACTACTTAAGTATCATAGCTTCGTAATAAATATGTTTTGATAGCTGAAAGAGAAAGTCTTTAGTCGCAGGTTGGATTCCCAGGAGAGGAAAACACTGAGAAAGACATTAGCATGCAGAAGATTTATTATGAATTTCTCCTGGGATTAAAACATGTGGAAGGGAAAGGAAAGATGTGAATTGGACAGAAAGAGAAGCTGAGCTGTAATGCAGTCCCAATAAAATCCTCTGCAAACTACACAGGGAATTCTGGAGTTGGGATAGCCTTTCAAACTTATCCCAAGCTGGGACCAAAGGACTTGACCTTTATACCCCAGCACTGATCAGTAAATTGCCTTGAACAAGAGCCATGACCTTGGGGTCTTTTCAACTGATGCAATACTCAAAGTCAGCTGCCAACTAATGAGTGTCTGTCAGCAGCACTCTCAGTATTTGGGGTATTAATTCTTTCTTGCCTAAAGAGAGATCTGTGTAATACATCACATCCTTCCTGTTTTTCTTATTCAAAATTACTTCAACTATTCCTGGCTTTTGACTGTTGATATGAATCTTACAATCAATTCATAAAATTCCATAGAAACAAAACAACACCTGTTGGTATAATTGGAATTTAAAATGCGTAAATTATTTGTGAGGAGATGACATTTATGATACAGATTTCCTCATTCATTGACCATGATTTTTATGTTTATTTAAGTCTTCTTAGGTCTTGCAATAATATTTATAATATTTTTCATAATTGTCTCACACAATTTTTATTTAAATTCCAGTTAGTTAATCTAAGTGTAATCCTAGTTTCAGGTGTACAATTTAGTGATTCAATACTTACATACAATACCCGATGCTCATCACAAATGACTTCCTTAATCCCCATCACCTATTTCACCCATCTCCTCGTCTATCTCCCCTCTGGTAAACTTCAGTTTGTTCTCTATAATTAAGAGTCTGTTTCTTGGTTTGCCTCTCTCTTTTATCCCATATGATCATTTGTTTTGTTTCTTAAATTCCATTTACGAGTGAAATCATATGGTATTTGTCTTTCTCTGACTAACATTTTGCTTAGCATAATATTCTCTAGCTCCATCTGTGTCATTGCAAATGGCAAGATTTCATTTATTTTTATGGCTGAATAATATTCCACATATATATATTTTTCTTTTCATCTTTTTTATTTTGCACTATAAAAAACAACAACACCCAGTAACATACTGCTGTTCTTCACATTCATATGGATTTTAGGAAATTATTGCCTTTTCCCCAGGAGATAGAAACTACAGACAAAAAAAGAAGTACCACATTACAAATCTGCAAACCCCAGAAGTCCACATCCTGCAGACAATCCCCAGGGGTAGGGAAGAAAACATGTGTCACAAGAGATGAGACAAGCACACATTAAGGACAGCAAGCTGGGGAAACGACCAGTTCAATGCCAGTGACCCTGATGCAGTGGGTCCCTTTTACTCTTGGCAGCATAGCCATCCCCTCAAAGGGGTGATTTTTGGTCTAAGGTCTGAAGAGCTCTTTTCGAATGACACAAGAGATACTTTGAGGAGGGGGTGACGAGAAAGGTTCAAGTATGAATAAGAATCATGTGAAGTCCAAAGTCAGGGAAGAACCTCCAATGGGAAGGAAGCCCAGACAGGTCAACATCTTGCTACTTCAACCACCTGCCTTCACACGGGACCCAAGAGGAAGTCTCAAAACCATGTGAGGGTTCAAATAAGCATTTTGATCTCGTCCCTCCACACCCTGGAGGTGTTACTTTCCTGACTGGGTGGTGATCAGCCAATATAATATATATATATATATTATATATATATACCACATCTTTTTATACATTCATCAGTCAATGGATATTTGGGCTCTTTCCATAACTTGGCTATGGTAGATAATATTGCTATAAATATTGGGGTTTGTGTATCCCTTTGAATTAGTATTTTTGTATTCTCTGGTTAAACACTCGTTAGTGTCATTGCTGGGTCGTAAGGTAGTTATATTTGTAACTTTTTGAGGAAAATTCATACTGTGCTGTTTTCCAGGGTGGCTGCACCAATTTGCATTCCCACCAACAGTGTAAGAGTTTTCTCCTTTTTCCACATCCTTGCCAACACCTATTGTTTTTTGCATTGCTGATTTTAGCTATTCTGATAGGTTTGAGGTGATATCTTATTGTAGTTTTGACTTATATTTCCCTGATGATAATGTTCAGCAACTTTTTGTGTGGTGGCCATTTGTATGTCTTCTTTAGAAAAATGTGTATTCATGTCTTCTGCTCAATTTTTAATTGGATTATTTGAGCTTTGGGTATTGAGTTGTATAAACTCTTTATAGACTTTGGATACTAACCTTTTATGAGCTATGTCACTTGTAAATATCTTCCCCCATTCCATAGTTTGCCTTTTAGTTTTGCTGATTGTTTCCTTGGCTGTGAAGAAGCTTTTTATTTTGAATAGGTCCCAATAGTTTATTTTTGCTTTTGTTTCTCTTGCCTCTGGCAACATATCTACTAAGAAGTTGATACTGCCAATGTCAAAGAAGTTACTGCCAGTTAATGGTTTCTTGTCTCACATATGGTCTTTAATCCATTTTGAATTTATTTTTGCATATAGTGTAAGAACGTGGTCTAGTTTCAGCCTTTTGCATGTTGGTGTCCAGTGTTCCCAAGGCCATTTGTTGAAAAATGTTTTTTCCCATTGATTATTCTTTCCTGCTTTGTCAAAGATTAATTGACCATAGAGTTGTGGGTTTGGCATTATTCTATTCTTGACATTAAAGAGAATGCTAAGCAACCTTAATCAGATTAAGAACATTCCCTTCAAATCCTAAATTTTTTTCCAAAGGGTTTTTTAAATCAATATACTAAACATTTTTGAGGTAGGATATTAATAAGGTAAATTAATGAAGTAGGCACTATTATTATCTACATTTTACAGATGAGAAAGTTGGAGGAAGTAACTTGTCCAAGATCACACAGCTAATAAATGATAGAGTTGGGATTTGAACACAGGAAATCTGTCTTCACTGTACATGTTCTTAATTGTGACACTGATTGACTCCTAAGCTCTCTAGGAAAGCCATCCAACTTCCTTGATATTATTTCCTAATATTTTATTTCTACCTTATTTGTTTTTCTACCTTATTTTTATTTTGTCCCCCAGTTTTCGTTTTTACCTGAAGCCCCAGACTAATGAAAAGATTCTTGCCACTTCCAAACTCAATTTTACAGAGCATTCAACTCTTTAGGTATCTTAGCTTTGAGATTTGTGCAAGAATCTCAGTTCCAGGGTGACATTTCTGATCCTTGCTTGGGTACTAAAATCTAAATTTCTGGCCATTAGGATTATATTTGGGAACAATACCTTATAAGTCAGTTGTCATGGCATTAGTTTATATGCTTACTATCCTGTTTTCTTTTTTCCTTTTTATTTTTGACATCTTATATTTTTCTTTTTCATTTCATTTCACTATATCTTTTTGTTATGTTTTTATCCAGCATTTCTGTGTTTGGAAACATGGAGGTGAGAAGAAAAGGGGTGTCCCTCAGTGTCATTGCAGTTCCAGTGTTGGTGGAATTTTGGCTTCTTATTATGTCCCTTCTAAACTCTTATTAATATTTTCCTGTCCTTGTCTCCATTCACTTTTTTAGCCTGGCTCAACCACTCTAAATTTCTTAGTGATGCACAATTTTGCAGGTTGCAAAGCTAGAGGGACAAGGCACTCTCCTCCATGTGAGAAACAATTGGTAGAGGAACAAACACAGTTACTTTGGCCTAAAGATGGCTCTTTCAGTCCTCCCCATTGAGGTAGGTTTCAGTCACTAACTCTGAATACTTACCCACTTCTCTTCTCCTACTCTCAGGCCCTGCTGCTGAATCTCACGGAACCAGATTTTTCTAATCTAATAATGAATTTGATTTCAGTGGCTCTGTCATCTCTTCCAGCTCCATTTGTGCTGGCACCCATCCTCCCCCTCCCCCACCCCAGTCAGCACTTCTGCCAATTTTCAGAAGACTCAGCAAACACAAGTAAGTACTTGAAGAGGGACAAAGATGGGGTAAAGAGGGATGCCACCTCACTTTGCATTGTGGACTTACCTAGTCAGCTCTGGCCCACCAAGCCCCACTGCTGGCACTAAAAAGAAAACAAATCAAACGTGATATGAATTTTATTTTTTAAAAGATTTTATTTATTCATTCATGAAAGACACACACACACACACAGAGGCAGAGACATAGGCAGAGGGAGAAGCAGGCTCTATGCAGGAAGCCCAGTGTGGGACTCGAACCTGGATCCTGGGATCACGACCTGAGCTGAAGGCAGATGCTCAACTGCTGAGCCACCCAGGTGTCCCTGAATTTCGTTTTAAAAGAATAAATTAAAACTTTTCTTTCAAATAGAGATGTTTTGTTTTGTTTTGGGCAATAATAAGATTTCCCACCAGTTCTCCATTCATAGAAGAGATGTAGGATGATTACAGAAGACCTAAATTTGGGTCCACCTTTTCAAAGCATTAAATCAGCATTTCAAGATAGAATGGTCAGTCTAGATAAGATGTGAACATCTATAATTAAGGAGCTAATCTGGATGGGGACCACTTCTACCTGTTTGGTAAAGACAAACTTTTTCAACATTTATTTGTTTGTTTATAATTTGCATACATTAAAATTCATCTATTTTTGAGGAGTATATAGTATTATGACTTTTACCTATGCCTAGGTTATATAACCATGATCACAATCAAAAGAGACAGTTCCATCACTCTCAACATTCCCTTGTACTGTCTCTCATGTCTAAATCCTGGAAGCCACTGATTTGTTTTCCATCACTATCATTTTGCCTTTTCCAGAAAAACAATTATATAGTATGTAATTTTTTGAGATAGTTTGCTTCACTTAGCAGAATGCATCTGAAATTCATGCATGTTGTTAGCATCAATAGTTTATCCTTGCTTAATGCTGAGTAATATTCCACTGTATGAATTTACTATAGTTTGTTTAGCCATTTACCTGTTAAAGGAAGTTTGGGTTGTTTTCAGTTTGGGGTGATTATAAATAATTCTGCTTAAATATTTTTATAGTTTTTTTGTGTAAAAAGAAGCGTTCATTTCTCTAAGGTAAATACCTAGGACTGGGACTGTATGGAAAGTTTATGTTTAATTTTATAAGAAATTACCAAACCATTTTCTGGAATTGTTATGCCTTAAGTCACATGTATCAAAGTCCTGTGGCTCTACATCTTTGTCAAAACTTGATGGGCCAATTGTGTGTGTGTGTGGGGGGGGGTTGTTATTATTTTGTAATTTAGACATTCTATAATAGATGCTTAGCAGTATGGATAGCAAATTAGCACACAAAAAGATGCTGGACATCATTATCCATGAAGAAAATGAAAATCAAATTTTCCAAAACTCTTATGAAAAGGGTATTATGCTTCACACTAAAGAAATGAAGATTTCTTTCCAGGAGGTAAATAGTGCAGCAATGTTGGAAGTAGGACTCTCAATTAAATATGGTCTGTGGATAGAGGAAGAATAAAGAGAAGAAATAATAAAGATTCTGGAAGAATGCCTGGTCCAAAAATAAGAAAATACACTCCATAGTGTCCTGAAGGTCATGTGCTGAGTATCTCTAATCTGTTGTTGGAAGTCAAGTGTAGAATTGATTTTCTAATAATGGATTTTTGACAATTGTTGAAAAAAGGAAAGGTATTACATTTGCAATTGAAAAGTGTAAGCTTTCTGTGCTGTCTGAAAATTCAATGGTCTCTTCACTACAGGAAACAATGTGTTACATATAGATAAATAGAAGGAAACTGAATTGCTGGGCATCAGTCCCTCCGAAGGGTTCCATAAAATTGAGAGATCTTCAATGGTTTGTATAAGTTCCAGAAATTTGAGGTGAAATTATAGTCCTAGACTTAAAATCCTGCCAGAAGATCTTGCCCCCTACATGTTATCCTCCCCAACAAGTTTCAAGAGCCTCTGTTCCTTTGGCCTTCTCCAGTTTCCCTTTGGTGCTTTAGAATTATAAATTTTTCCTCCTAATTTGAAAGATCCAGGCCTCTTGTCTGGTTTTCTTTTATATCTCATCCTGCCTCCAACTCTCTCTAGACCTCAGCCCCAGGCTTCTGGCCAGGGATATTTCCCACTCTTTCAGCCAGGAAGGCTTTCTATGGTTGGAGGGAATATCTGTCTCTGTGTGGCCTCTGAAGCTTCCCATAGAGCTCCTCCAATTTTGTCTTCCTACTCCAATGATTTCTTCTTCACTTTTTTATCAGCTTTAAGGACATATTTTTTTTTTTTTACTTTAAGCATTGGCAATACTATTAGCTAAACTCTAAACTCCTATTCAAGTTTTGCTTGAGTTATTTTTCGTTTCCTCTGGATTGCAGTAAGTTTTCAATTAGTTTCTTCCTGACTTAATTCACACCTTCTCTGCTTTCTTTGACCACTTTCATGCTGATAAACACTATAAATTATTTATTTAAAGTCATATAAATCCAATCCTAAATTGAGGGCTCCACTGTTCCATGATTGATTAACACAATAATGTTTTCAGTTTGCTTCATTATACGGCCATTTCTATGGTACATTGCATCAAGAGGGTACTTTGGAGTCAATTATTTTGATCTATTCATTCTGGAAATAAGAGATAATATTCTTTGAAAGAAATGATGGCCTGAGATAATTTATGACAAGAGCTTGATACTTCAGGCACAGAGTGATTTGAGTCCTCTTGTGTTGTTGACTCATGATTAGACCTCAAAAAAGTCATTTAGACATATGCTTGTCTGTTAAGCAAGTATAAACTGCCTCTCGGGTTTCAGATGAGAAATAAATTGCTAAATCACTTTCCTAACACATTGTCTTCTGCAGCTCATCCGTTGTCAGGGACCTGAGCCAAGAAGTGGGGAAATAGTTCTCTGGATATCATCACATATCCCTCATAGGTGAGTCACTTCTTTTAGGCAATAGAACTCATACAAGGAACCTAGAAAAAAAAATTTTTAACCTAAGTCACAAATAAGTCAATTCTTTTAAGCAGTGGAACTTACACATAGAAATCTAAAAAAAAAAAAAAAAAAAAAAAAAAAAATACGTAAACTGTGTTAGCCTTAACTTGTTTAGCATAATTTATGATGTTGCAAAGTTCAGTCAATCAGCCTGGAGCTCACAAGCCAAGAAAGCTTAAGGGTTATTCTCCTTATACCACTGAATAGCACTGTAATTAATGAGCCAATGAATTAATACTTATCTTGCTAATAGATTGTAAGCTCCATCAAAGCGGAGTTGCTGTCCTATTATGCTCAATATATATCTGTTAAATAAATTAAAAAATGCATAAATGACTTTATAATTGAACAGTCAAAATATGGCTTAAAAGTGAGGCTGGTGTCAGGATTTTGTAGTGTCAGATTCCAAGTTACTCAGGAGTTGTACATTCAATTCTACTTGTCATGTGTTACTGGCATAGCTGACAATTACTGTTTGGTGTATGCAAGTAGGCATGGATTTTTAGAGGAAGTTGGTCTAATTTTTAGTGATAAAGAAGGTTCCTTTTTCTTTTTCTTTCTTCCTTTCTTTTTTTGCAGAGGGGTTTTAAGTCTTCTAAATGAAACTTAGTTACAGGCCTACAAATATTGAACTTGGGATATAAAAACATAAAACTCTACTTATGTGGGCAAACCAGATTGGAGGTCTAAATTGGATTAGGTCCACAACTTAATCATCATTAAAATATATCTACTGCCATCGATTTGGCCTCTGATCAGTCCTGTATATGGAAGCATCTAATTTTTCCAATGCGTACTTAGGTATATGTAATAAAACTAGTCTGTGCCTATTTCCTGACTTCTGTTGTTTTGTGCCACCAGAATGACACAGGATTTCAATTGTAGCTATTGAGCTCCCTTTAAACATAGCTGAGGCTGTTGGAGGTAGATCATCAAGCCCAAAGATCAGAGCTAGACATTTTTTAATCTCATTACTATAGTAGTCACTGACTTAGTAGCTCAGGAAATAACCTCTTTTGTGGCAATCCGGAATGGTAATCCCAAAACAGAACCTCACCTTGTGGTTTACTGATTTCCAGCACTCTTTCACCTTCCTCAAATGCCTTCCGTGGGTAGCTCAGTTTTTTCCTCTTATAGCCATCATCCTTTTCATCTTTATAGTCAGTTTTGATAAATTCCAACTCTCTACTCTGAATCATCTAAACTGTAATCCTCAATTTAAAGATCAAAATTACTAAAAAATTCTTCATATCCTGAACCTCAAACTCTAGTTACTTGAAGTGTTATTCATGTTGACATGGAAAGAATGAATAAAATCAGAGAGGCATAAGGAAGAAAGATGGAGAGGAGTCCACATGTCTAAAGGAACAACAATGATTGAAAGAGAGCCAAGATCTTTTAAGGAGCTAAAAGACATTCAACATGGCAGCATAATGATGAGGAAGTAGAATGTTTATTGGGGTGGGTGATGCAGGCCATTGGGGGTCTTGGAAGCCATACTAAGGAGTTTGGACTTTATCTTAAAGCTATTGAAATTTTTTTTTAAAAAAGATTTTATTTATTCATGAGAGACAGAGAGAGAGAGAGAGAGAGAGAGAGAGAGAGAAAGGCAGAGACTCAGGCCAAGGGAGAAGCAGACTCCCTGCAAGGAGCCCTATGTAGGATTCAATCCCAGATCCTGGAATCACACCGGGAGCCAAAGGCAGATGGTCAACCACTGAGCCACCCAGGTGCCACGATATTGAAGATTTTCTAGCAGGATTGTTACAAGGTAGAACATATGATTTTGGAAAGATCAACCTGGTTTATGTATAGAGTAGGGATTTAAGGGAGATAAGACAGTGGTCTAGAGACCTATAGGAAGATGTTGTAGAAATCTGGGAAAGACGTGATGTTGGGCTGAACTTGAGAATGGCAATAGAAATGGAGACAAATTAATGAATTAAAGAGAATTTTAGGACAATTAGCAAGCTTTGCTGATCAATAGAATCAAAGGGTAAAAGAAGGAGACTCGCTAAGATTGACTCTCAGATATGTAAGAAGGTGGTTGATTTGATTTTAGAGAGGTTTGGGGCACCTGTAAGAAATCCAAGTAGAAATATT